CATTGATGCGTAGCATTTACTCATACGTATTGTGAACAAATTTATCTAGCGACGCTGGTTACAACGCAAAATTGCACAAAAATGCTTACAAATGTTACTTTTGTTGCACTGATTGCATATTTTTGCATCAGACCAAATAAAAGAAGGGAGAATCAAAAAACGTTTTGGCTTTTTTAGCAACTTTTGAGCAACTTTCGTTACAAAAACCAACTTTTGACTTTTTTTGGAGCAACTTTTGAGCAACGTTTTGAGAAATTTCGGGCAACTTTTTGGGAAATCTCGAGTAACTTGTGGCAAGCCCTACCCTCGGACGTACAGGCTAACTCATACCCCCACCGTGGTGTAAAGGGAGGGTGAGGGCTGATAAAACCCCTCCCCTAGGTTTTCGTTCTGTTAAGGCACAACGAAATAAATTTACATTGATAAGATAGCCCATCATCAGACCATATTTGTCGGATATGAAGTCAGATGACGTCTGTCATCGTGGATCCGCCATCTTTGATTTCACTATTTTTTAAAAGAGTCCAAAAGTAACAGAAATTGATGCAAAATCAAGTCAGAATGCTTATGAAATGTACAAATTCGTGAATTTCTCCAATTTTTTTGAAGAAAGCTAGAAATAATACAAAATTATGTCAGAAAAGTTTATTTTTGGTTAAACCTACATGAAATCTGCACACAATTGACATGTCCTCCACACGCCCCGCCCTCCTCTCATCCTTGTACGTCGCATTTTGTTCTTTACTTATGATCTGTTGGAGGCCAGACGCATAGATGACGTCATTAAGTTTTTTTTTTCTTTGAAACAAATGAATTCCATGTTGCCGTGCGTCTGTTCACTGCCAGATGACGTCAAAAGCCCGTAGCAAAATCTCAAACCTTATTAATACAGAGCTGCTTTGTTCACATATTCTTAGTACGATCGATCAGAGGTTCTCTTCATACCGCAGAAGTTTCAGGCGTGTACACTTCTCTGTTTTTAGATACAGATTTAATAAAAATGGCTGAGAAATGTACAAAAAGTATAACGCACGAGCACAGTGATTGTTCTGCTTATTAAACCTTCTGCTTCGTGGCGTTCTCGTTGCCGTCGTGGTTTGCTTTAAGTATAAAATGTTTAAGCAAGCAACCGGAACGATGATCCTGCTGGTATACGTTGGATCAATAGTGATCTAATCGGCTTTACATATAAAATGAAGAATACAAAAGCAAAACCGACACAACGTAGAATGATTTTTTGAAGGTGTACTATATTTCGGCTGGCCAAACCAGCCTTCTTCTGGGCCTTATCTACTATTCGACTTCAGGCTTGCTGAAATTCTTTCCAGGCCAAAGATGGAGAGGGGCGGCACCATGCATCTACACAATCAGTCTATTGGGAAATTAAAGGACCCTAGTCAGTCATTTAAATTATTGATATTACATGGTGAAGTGAAATCTTATTGCTTTACTGCAAGTTGTGTTCCTGAAAGTATGTTTAACTATTTTTGGTAGTTTCACGGTGGTTTCCTTCGTTTTGACATGCTCAGAATAAAATATAACAGCCAAACTTTTGCATGTAAACAAATATAAAGCGGTGGCTGACTAGGGCCCTTTAACTTTAAGGCTGAAGAATAGACCAAAAAGCAAACAGACAGTTGGTTTGTTGGTGGAACGTCAGTTTTAAAACCGACATCCCACCAACAAAAGCTATTTTTATAATCTTCCCACGCGGTCCAATGCTAATGATATGTAATGCTCTAATCCGACAGTTTTCATCAGAAGTGAGTTCTCCTTTTGTATTTTTGACTGTGATTCACACTTCACCGCCTAAAAACAAACATGATGCTACCAGTGTGTGGGCTGAAGAGGTCACTAAATACAACTTCAAGGCCTGCGTCCGGGAATTGAAAAACTTTGATGGCGCGCACAGTGGCGTAAAAGTGGTAAGTAAATTTAATTGCGATGGCAGTGAACAAATATCGGGTAACGCTCTTTCCCCAAAAGAACTGTACCGCGCAAAATTGTTTACCTCTATGTTTTTCAGACGCAATATCTTTTCCAAATATGAGTCGCAAAATTCAGTGTAATCATAGCTCAACCGGTACCATACATTTTGCAGCGAAAAAAACTTGGAGAAAAGTTTAACTCAGAGAAAGCTCCGCCGAATTCAGCAATAAAACTTAGCTTGCATCGGATGTCTGTGACAAATCCGCGAGTGCGAAGTATTAAACTTGATGTACGGCTTTTAATTTTAAGATAGCCTAACTTAATCATCTATTGTTTGTCTGTATTTCAGGACATACTGGCTCTGGCAAACATTCCGAGCGGATGGTCAATTCCTGATGGCCGCAAACTTGAATTCAGCAACGACTATTTTCCATCTGGAGACACTGGTTACAGCTTTTGCAGGGTGAGTGTTGCGTGTGTATATATCTGAGCGATTTCGCAAAAGCATGCCCTTTAGGCTTTTGCCTGGGCTCTGTAAAAACCGTTAAAGGCAGGGGGAGGGGATTATGTTTTTTACTGTCGACTTCACATAGCTAGACTTGAGTTTTCAATGCCGAATAACGTGGACATTGACAGTGTGGCTGGGCACTTTGCTCAGCTGTTAAATATTTCTTGAGGGTTCTGTGTTGACATGGTACCCTACTGGAGAGGCACATACAGGGGCGTGGTTAAGGCACATGTGGCCGCTGGGACTGTTTTTGAGCTCTCAGCGGTCAGGTTTTTGCTGATACAGTTAGATATATACCCGAGTTTCCAAGCGAAAATTCAACAATTGCTGGCAACTTAGCTAAAGGATGATAAAAGCGAAAAGTGCATCTAGCGAATTCTAAACACTATTCACGTGAAATTACAAAAGATCATAAGACATTTTGTCAATTCCATGATCCATTCTTGAAGCTATCCTGTCTTGCTTGTGATAATCACAAAAACTGGGCAAAAGTGTTGAGATACAAATGCGATTTTCGAGTACATTGGATACATTTACCTCATTTCCTCGAAGATTTCCACTCTAAAGACGTCCTTTTTTTTCTTGGCAAATAAATGTAGCAGCAAATAAAGGCTCTTTTAGAGTGGGGTTGCTCTCCAACCTGTGACACGGAGGACCAGTGTGTTGTTTTGTGTTATTCATATCCTGCAAGTCACCAATCCTACATCAAATTAGTAAAGAAAAACCTGTCGAGAACATCACAAGTTTCTCCCTACTCACACACCTTTATTGGTCACCAGGACACCAAAGTTTCTCTCCACCACAGCAAGACAAAGCAACAGAGGAATTCCTTGTCACCTTGGCATCGTTTAAGTTGTTAAGTATTGATGTCTTTGAGCCCTGTTGAATAATCTCCTTCCCAGATCTCAATCTGTATGGCCGTGGGAGATCTAGGTAAAAGACTACCCGTTGAACATTCAAAGCTGATTTTTTCCCATCCTCAACAGGATTTTACATTTGCTAAACAGTTTTACGAAGTACCGGTTGTAATCACCACAGCAAGGCACGTAAAGGGAAGCGTTGATGCTGACGACAATGCTATCACTGAATGGGTGCATGTAAGAAAAATAATTGAAACCGCTCCTGAATTACTTTGCTTCTTATTTCCGTATTGTCACTTATCATTCTAACATTTCGTATTTCTAGCAAGTATCAACCAGCGGCTTGGATATTTGTGTAAGGGACATTCAACGCTACGATGCATTCCACGACCCCATCACTGTTAACTTCTTGGCGATAGGAAGTAAGTAGGCCACACAAACAAATTGATAAGTACGATATGCACGCACTGCGGACCTATCACTTCTTACAACGCGCCGGATTGCATATCGTTGATCAGTTCCGAGGACGCAAACAAGACAAACAAGGCAAGTTAAGTTTTTTGGTGTTACTGATGTCTCTTTGCTTATAGGGCTACAGGTTATGCTATGCTTAAATTTTTGCAAATTTTGACCATTAGAGTGATTTCTATGATGAAAGCGCATGTAGGCGTTCTTTGAATTCTGGATTGATCTCGACTTGGACTACATTAGAATAGAAAGAAACTACTTCGACTTCTTTTAAATGGTGAAATCAGTCAAGTAAGGTATCAAACACGGAAGACTGCGTTTGACCACAATTCCGAAACACGACGAAAAAACGACGCATAGCGGAGTATTCGTGACTTATTCCAAGGTGTTTGCAGGTGTGGTCAATCAAGACTAAAACTAAGAAGAAAACGGAGAAATAAAATAATTAAAATCTATGCTAATTAAGATCAGATATCCAAACACCGTCACGGTCATGACTTTCTGTCCTTAAACTTGATGAATTATTAATGAGTTTCAGAAGTTGGTTTCTTTTTTTCCCACAGGTTTGGACCCCTGCCAAGATTACTCTTGTTCCTACTATGCAGTCTGCTCTGCCAGCACTCCGACAACTCCGACCTGCGTCTGTCAGCCTTGTCATAATCATCAGGTTCAACCTATTTGTGACGTGTTTGGAGTCACCTACCAATGTCGTTGTGAATATAAACTTGCGGTTTGCAAGGCGCAGAAATCTATTCCAACAAGACACCTCGGCGGATGCAAACGTAAGTTTCACTGCAATGCATGTATCACTTGGTTATTTTGTCTACGAATCTCTTTGTCTTTCTAGATAAAGCACAGCATATTATTTTCTCATTTTAAACGTCTACTGCTGAATTCAGTAGAAGGCGCCGTGGCCTCATGATTAGTGTGCTCGTCTTCGGACAGCGCGGTCCGGGTTCGAGCCTGACCAGGGTCATTACGTTGCGTTCTTGGGCAAGACACTTTAGTCTCACACTGCCTCTCTATACCCAGGTGTACAAATGGGTACCGGCCAACTTAATCCTGGGGTAACCCTGCGATGGACTAACATCTCATCCAGGATTGAGTAGAAGTACTCCTAGTCGCTTCGTGCTACGGAAACCGGGATAAACTCCGGCCTGAAAGGCCACTTGGCTCGTATGCAGGCTTTACCTTTGCCTATGCAAGTGAATGTTTGATGCATTCAAAACCCTTGTAGAGTCTCTCCCAATAAAACTCTAGTTCCCTTGTCCCTCATACGCACAAGGGATTTACAATTAAGTCCGTTTTGTTCTTTCTTAGCATTTGTTTTTGAACGCGGTCGCGTTATTCTCCGTTTGAACACAACCGATGTGCAATGTAAAACAGTTTCCTTCAAGAAAGCAGCGTTCGAAAGCGGCCGAGGAAGTGTTTACGTACAGACCTCCATCAATTTCTTTAACTACAGCGGCGACTTCATCCATGACGCTGCGGTGACCTGGGTCGAGAACGTGAATATCAACACTTTTGAGGTGTGCGCGCTTAAAGCAGGAAGGGCAGAGCGCTTGACACCTGATGGCGGACTCACGTTTGTGGACTTCGTGGCCTTCCAAGAATGTCCTGTTGGAGCGATCGCCGGCCGACTTCAAATGCCATCTAATTGGTGGGACGGAACAACTTGTAAAACAGTTGCATTTGAAAAGGTTCGTCATAATATTTCGTCATTTATGCGAGGAAAATAAGCCGCGGCTTCCATAAGACACGAGCAGGACCTTTTATAGGAGCGCGGCTCACAAAAGACGCGAATTGTTAGTGTAAGTGGTTCATGGCTTTTTGGCGACTAATGCGATGCTTTTGTGTTGTTGTCATAGCAATCGTGGAATTGCGCGAGTGGTCGCACAAGCACGGGAAAAACTTGCG